ACTCAACTAAACCTTTTACAATAATTATAAATACATATAAGTTTGCTATTGAGGCTGTTCTTAGTTTAAATCAAGAAAAAAGTAAACAATCTGTTGTTTATGAATCTCACAAACTTTTTTCTACTAAAAAAAAATATGCTGTTTATAAAAAAGAATTATTAGCTATTGTTCATATTATTAAACTTTGGTATATTTATCTTAAAGACAAAAGTTTACTATAATTACTAATCATATTTTTTTGGAATATATCAAGTCTTAAAACAACCTTTCATAAAAGCAAGCTTACTGTCTTGAAATTTTACAATCTTGCACCTTTGATATCAAATATAGGTCTAGCAAAACAAATGTTGTAATTGATGCTTTATCCTGACAACCTTATTTGGCCAATTTTTTTATTATTTCTTCTTATCTTACAAACTTTGAGAAAAAATATCTTGATGATAATTAGTTTGCTTCTATTTACATAACTTAGAAAAATCCTAATTTAAGTAACAAAAAACAACAAGCTTGTACTCAATATTATGAGTCAAAAGACAATAAGCTTTATTTAAAAGAGGACCAATGTTTAGCTATTTCTATAGATAAGAAATTAAAGACTAAATTATTAAAGGAATATTATAATATTAAAATAGCAAGGCACTTAGAATCAATAAAACTTATAAAGCAATTCAATATGATTAATTCTGACCAAAAATGACTAAAAATATTAAGAAATTTGGTTTAACTTGTGACTCCTGCCAATATAGTAAAAGTAGTAATCAACAAACAGCTAGATTACTTGAAACATTAACAACTCCAACAACAAAATAAGAACAAATTACTATGAACTTTATTGTTCAGTTACCTACTACATGACTGAAACATAATACTATTATAGTTTTTGTTAATAGATTAACTAAAAAAACATATTTTCAACCTACACATACTATTATTATTATATCTGAAGTTGCTAAAATTTTCTTTTCAACTATCTTTAAAAACTATAGATTATCTAAAGTTATAATCTTTAATCAAGATACTAAATTTATAAGTAACTTTTAGAAATTACTTTTTAATTATATTAGGACTAAATTAGCAATATCTACAGCTTTTCATTCTCAAACTGATGATCAAATTGAAAGAATAAATTATACTTTGGAGAAAATGCTTAGAGCATATTCAATATATAAACAGAATACTTGAATGAATATTTGCTTGCAGCTAAATTTGTTTACAATAATTCTAAATAAGTATTTACTAAATTTACTTTATTTGAATTAGATTGTAAATAACATCCTAATACTTCTACTTCACTTGCAACTAACAAACTTAATTAAGTGTCTGTTGCTGAGAATTTATTAACCATTAGAACAATATGATTAAAGTTGACAAAAATACTTCAATAATAGTTTAAGAAAGACAAACAAAATATATAAATCAACATTGTTGTGAATTAAACTTTAATATTGGTGATAAGGTTATGTTATTAGTCCATAATATTAACAACTCTATTGACAAATACAGCCTATTCATAAATTGGCTCCAAAATATTTAGGACCTTATACTATTTTTACCAAAATCTCATTAACAAGTTATTAATTAGACTTACCTTCTATTTTGAAAATTTATTCTGTATTTCATGTTTCAATATTAAAACCTTATCAAGAATCTGAAGAATTTAACTGTAAAACTCTATCTTAATCTATTATTATTTTTGAATCTAATAAAGCTGAATATAAAGTTAAACAAATTTTAAATAAAAGATTAATTTATAATAAAAACACAGTATTTAGTTAAATAGTTAGATTACTCTTTATATAATGCTATTTGGAAACCTGTTAAGAATTTGAAAAATACTCCTGAAAAGTTTAAAGAATTTGAATTGATAAGAACATTAAATCTTAAGAAAAAGAGAATGTAACAATTTTATAATTTTTTCATAATTTTTCATTTCATTATTTTTCTAAACTTTTTCTTAATTACATTCTAATTATTATAATTAATTTAGCTATATTTAGTTTATTAGTTTATCAAATATAATTAGAATTAATTTAGTAAATGTAACATAAATAGATAAGCATTATTATAACTTATTTACTTTATCTTATAGTGCAATTTTGCTTATTAATAATGTAATTAACATGTGTATTAATTATCAATTTTAATTTGTAATGATTTACTTTTATTTTTTATTTTTATTTTTATTTATTATTAATTATATGCTAGAATCTTTCAGATAGATTAGTAAATCTTATGAACAAACTAAGTTTCTATTTTTAATATACTTTTATTCTTAAATTTATGTATTTTTAAAAATTATTTAAATTTGATAAGATTCTTTAATAAAATTTTAAGTATTTTTATTAGCAAAATTATATACAAAGTACTTTGAATAACAAAACCTTTATAAACTTTTAATTGCCTATTTAAATAGTTCACTTTAGAGTTTTATACTAAATACTATATCTATAATTTATTAGAAGATTATTTATTTAAACTTTTTGATAATTTGTTTTTTAACTATTTAACTATTACTAAACTTTTTATACATATTTAACTAGTATATTGTCTAAGCAGTATTGTATCTTTTTTTTTAAACTAGTTTTCAGATTATTATAAATTTTAAAGTATAACATTTGTTAGTAAAGCTCAGAAGACTTTTATTGTTAACCACCTACTCATTCTATAGATTATTAACAAGAACTTATTCTTGTATAGTTCATTTATATTTTAGTATCTACTTTATAATATATTTTTAGTGCTTTCAGTATATTTCTATTTTATCTTTAAACTTCCAATTTAAATAACTTAAAAGAATTGTAACTATATTTAGTATATTGAATCTGACCTAATAACCTTTTTTTCAATTTGACTTGATAACCTAGTTAGTAGTACCCCTTATCTAAAGGTCTTTATTTGTCTAATTCTTCTATATTGATATTTATTTTTTAGGTCTAGTTTTTATAATAATACTATCAAAAATTCATGTTATATTTATAAAGTGAAATCTTTTTACATAATAAATATTTACTGTCATCTAAAGCAACAGATAGTTTTTGCAATAATTTTTTTGTTAGTAAAATGTTTGAAAAAATACCTTCAAGTTTCTTTTTTATAACTATTTAATAAAAAATTACTACTAAGCTAATACTACTTAAATAAGATCTTATTAGAGATTATTTTTAAAAGTAATATTCTAACACTTTAATGAAGAGACCTATATAAAAATTGGCATTCTTTTAGTATGCAACACTTAATTTTTTAAAAAGTACTCTAAAGCATATAAATAAGTTACCTGGACAATTAATTTACATCAGCCAATCAGATGAACTTCTGTCTAGATAGTTGGGTTTTAGGTCGGAAATCATATGACTGCCCTCGATTATTGGTTACGCTGCACAAATCAACTGCTAAACCTGGAACATGTGATCTACAAATAACAATTCTTCACTGTACAACACCCTCCTGGATATAAGGATTATCTACCTAAAATGCTAATGAATATCAGCATAATAAGGAAAATCAGTAGGATAAAGGGTATAATTATAATAACTAGTATAAACATTATAATTAGTATAATAATATAAACATTATAAGTAATATATGCAGAATAATAAATATAAGTGATATATCACGAATAGAATGTATAATGTGCCCTATGTAAAAGAAAGTATATAATAAAGGCTTCGAGCCCTACAAAGAAAAACAGTCATAGTTCGGGATCAATAACATTCATCTCATAATAATTCCTTGCTTTCGCTATATCATAATATCTACAATCATAAATTCTCCACTCACCAAATCTAACACGCCCTTTTCGACTAAGCTGATTCGTAGGTTACGAAATCACCAAGGCGACTACCAAAAGTCTGGTCAGATGATTCGCACTACAGCCACAGCATCGGTTTGAGAATCAAAATTAGAAGAAACTATATTTTATCCTCCCAAATGTATAAAAATATTACTACACTTATTTTGCATGTTAAGTCTCTGTTTATGGAATTTTTTACATCGAAGAGATGAAAATTTCTTTTATATAAGTACTTTCTTTATCAGTAGCGCAAAAGTGACAATTATCATTAAACTTGAATTACATTCCTCTTTCGTGTAAAACAACTCAACAAAATTTTACCTAGCTAGCCTTCAGCAGTAAAATAATAGTTACAAATTTATATTTTTTATTATAATTGGCTTTACATAATTTTTCATACAGTAAAATTATATAATCCATTTTCGCAAGTAATTCATATTCGTAAGCTTAGTAAAAAATTTAACAAATTGCTTGATTCTATTAAATTCTCTGTTTGAGTATTTATACATTCTTTAAACTTGCCTCTGTCATAAATATATTTGATTAAATCACTGCAATCTTTAAAAGCAAAACATCTATTTTATTGAAATTTTATTACATGAGTTCGTAAATGAAATTAGTGTGTATGCTCAATCGATATTTTATTTGCTTCAAAATTTATACTGCTGTATCGATTAAAGTGTTTAACAACCATTAAGCGGCTATGCTGAAATTGTCAACTTCTCAATTATTATTTAAATTACTATAAAATGTATCAATTAAAGTGTTTAAACTAATACGATTTTATTAACAATCATTAAATGGCTATACTGAAATTATCAACATTATAGTTGTTATTTAAATTACTTTAAATGTATGGCACCATATCAATTAAAGTGTTTAGATATATACTATTTTATTAATAATTATTAAACAGCTATACCAAAATTGTCAATGTTGTAATTGTCAGTTAAATTGTTTTTAAATAAAATTAGCTTGACCAAAGCCAGCTCATTACGTTTAGTAACTGTTTGCATAAAATAGCTAATTTATAATATATTAAATTATGTAATTATTATCAAGATTTCTTTGCTTCAAATGGATTAGGTTGAAATAACTATTATTGCACCAAACAACCTACATTCGAAATAGTTAGTAAACCTAGCCAAATTTACAGCACAATAATAAATTTAAACAAAAAAAAAGACTGCATATCTTTAAAATACTTATCTTAGCATGAAAATATGTCTGAAAATAGCGTTTTACAAATAGAGAAACCCGCGATAATTGTTGGGTGTTTTTTTGAATGACCCGCGTTTTGATTGATCAAATCGTAATTGTTCTTGCCCTTAATATTGTAATTAATACTTTCTGTTTTTTATCAAACATTGCAAACAATTACCCATGCTTTATATCCTTTCATTAAGCATTGTAAATAATTACTTGCCTAATTTTTCACAATGGCGTGTATGTTGACTACTTCTTATAAATATCTATTGCAATGGGCAAAATACCAAATAAAAATTTAACTATTAGATACTTCTATAACCTTGAGATTATATATCTAAAGCTTCATCATACACCAAGCATACACTTATAAAATAGTCAGTTGCAGCGATTGTAGAGTCGATCGTCTAGAAGAACAGTTTATTTGGAGTAATGCACATCACAAGACATGCATCATATGTAAAAATAATCATGCCAAGAGAAGTGAGAATCACACACAGAATAAGAAAATGAGTCACACACAAAATAAGCAAGTACTAATTGTAAATGTTGACCAAGAACAAGTTAATGCCGATGTATGTGCTACGATTGACTATTTCAAAGTTGGAGATTTTGTTGAACATGAAATCCGAGAGTTAACAGATGATGCAAAAGTCAATGAAATAGAGAATACAATTTATCGAACTTACCAGACCAATTTGTTAGTGCACATTGATATAGCCATTCAACACTTGACACTAAGGAAAGTGGCAGATCTTGTTATTATAGAGATTAAAATGGTGATGACTATTCGTGAAAGTAAGTGCTAATTTTTTTCTATCTAATTTTTAAAATTTTTTTTTTCTTTTCTAATATCTAATAAAAATATTATTTTAGTTATAAAAAGGTGGATTTATCAAAAAAATTTAGCATGGTTGGTACGTTTACATATTTATATTGCCAGTTGAATGAGGCACAATGTGAAGTATATAAAGATTCGAACTGTAAATAGTGTGCACGCTACAATTGCAAAGGTAAGATCAGAGTAAAGGTTGACATGATATATGGCATTGTAGCAGTGAATATATACCACAGATTTCTTCATCCACACCCAGATTTTATAGCTGAAATACCTAATGAACTAAGAGAAGAAATAAGTACACATGCATATCTTACCACAACTGAATTAATAAATCACCTATGATGAAAAGAATTTGATGTTTCAAAATATTCGCATAAGTGAATATATTACTGGAAATCTATTGCAAATCAGAATAGATTTCAGCGTCACAATAACCCTGTTGAGTCAGCACTTAGACTGCTTAATGAACATAGTAATTTAGGCTTTTGTTGTTGCTTATATATTCAGAATTCAGAGTCAGTCGCTATAGAGTTTATCATACCATTATTAAATAAAATCAAAGATCAAGGTATTTATATATTTTGATGCCCATAACCTTTTTGACAATTCTCATGAACACTATATAGTTGTGCCGTATATGAGTGCTGCCAAGAAAAATACTACTTCGGTTTATTAAATAATAAACTGAAGTTCTATTTTTCTTGACAGCACTCATATAATATATACCTAAATATATATGAATTAATATGTTTTATGTTTTATACCAACCTTTTTTCATATTAACATTAAAGATATTAATATGATAGAAATATATATGGATGCCACTTACAGGACCACGAAAGGACAGTAGAAATTATACGCCATTGTAGCTGACATTAAGGGAGCTAGCTTCCCAATTGCCTATATAGAAATTGATACAACAAAGGTGGAAAATATGAATACTAGTACAGGAAGGCATCGTAAGATTTTGGAACAATTTTTGATAACAATAAAAGAAAATGGTGTTGAACCAAACTTTGTGTTTATGGATAAAGATTTCAGGGAAATAAATGCAGTAACTAATGTATGGGGGCCTTTAAAAATCCAACTCTGTCTTTGGCATATAGAAAGAATACTAAAATGAAAATTAGTAAAGAAATGCAAAAAATCAAAACATTTAAACCTAATATCTATAACTTACAATGCAGATCAAGCAGCAAACGAATTTGATTTTATTAATGCCAAGTTTTATCTAACAGAATATGATTGAGATCCACAAACGTATGTTATTTGTCTAATAATATATTATGACCAAATTTTGAAATTAGTTAGAAAACATTATAGCATACACCCACTAATACCATATGAGTTAAATATATGTCACTTCAGTTATATCGACATTAAATAAAAATATATATATATCTTTATTTAATTTTCTTTTTTCATCTAATAATACCAACCTTGGTCTTTGTAACAGTCAATACTCAAGGAAACATGATGTCACTGATTGACATCAGAACAATTGCTGTAAATGAAATGTATCAATTTTGTATCAAAAATAGTTTGCAGGTTTTATAGGCATATCTATGGACCAATTGGTATTCTCCAAGTTGATGGCATCTCTGGGCATGTTCAGTTAGACCCACAATACCTCTTAGCAAAACAACTATAAAAATCAAAGTGCACTGGAGCATGATTAAATGATGTTATTCATATCATTTTAGTAATCCTAGATTGGACCTTATGTTTGGACTCATCTTGACAAAGTAATACCAACACAAAATGACTGTCTTTCTTAAATTCTAAATGATACAATGAACCCGTGCTGGTGGAAGGATTTTAAGAGAGAATGGAATTACCTAGGTGTAAGCAATGAATGTCAGATAGAAATGCGTGTAGATAAAAATAATAAAAGTAAAAAAAAACTAACAGACCTACGATCAACAGACTTTTCTGGATCATATTTTACAAAAATTTCTTGTTGGGTTTGTAGTTGTCCTGCTTTTGTTAAAAGTCGTTTTTTAATGTGTAAGCACTTGGTTCAGCAAGTCATAAATATGTTTGATAGAACCAGATGACGATTAATTAGAGAAAATTTTGAACATCAAATCACACCGCCTTTTCTTATTATAAAGGACTTTAATTATAATGAAGTTATAAATTTATTACCTACGATTACTGTTATTTCTTCTTCAAATGGTATAAATTTTATGCCTATAATCACTGCTATGTCTCCTTCTGAAGCTTTTAATAATATTAATAAGGATCTAGAAAAAGAGGTTCATACTTATGTTGAGGAGAAGTGACCTCTAATTGAGTGGGCAATAAAACAAATGTGTACTGAACAATCAGCAAATAACTGGTGCCATGTTCACGCAATAATAGACTGAAGCAGATTAGCAAATATGGAAGAAGAAATAGAATCAATAGAGAAGAAAAGACATAGACAGGCCACTTGGACCCCAGTGAATAAAAAGCTATATTTAATGTATTTACCTCTTTCGAATGTATCAGAAGTAACAGAGAGTAATATAATTAATAATGATGTAAATTAAGAAATAAGAGATCGAGTATTTAATTTTTTTTTTAAAAAAAAAAATAAACTTAATGTACCAAGTGCAAATAAACATTTACATACTTTGATGTTCTTATACCAAACTTGAGCCATTTATAAAATATTAATTAAATCATTCCATTCGTAAGAACTGAACTCGCAAGAACAAATAACCAAGTAATTACATAGGTCAGATCGAACATTTTATATATAACGTTTTTAATTAAGAGAGTCGACCACTTCTGCACACGTTGATTAAGGTCGTCACACAACTTCATGGGGTCGGGGTCCAGGGGTGCTGCGGGGGGTCCCGGGTCCTGCCGATCATCTGACCGGACTTTTGGTGGTCGCCCTGGCGATCTCGTAGGTTACACGACGTATCCGATTGAGGAGCGACTGACTCGCCGTTCGAGGTCGTCACTACTATAGTTTGAGTTTGTCCACACCCAAATCCCAAACTCCGGCCAAATTAATATCTTAAAAATTTTATTACTAATCTTCATTAAATAAACAGTATATATTTTTATAATCATGTATAATATATCCGTGAAATTTAAAGATTATTTTTTTAGATTCAATTTTTTATATTTTTTTAGGGTTAGGGATTTGTCCGGATTTGTCCAGCATGTATAGTTAGACTGGTGCTTTTTCATGTATCAATCGACCATTTGCTCCGACCAAATAATTTCAGTTAATCGTTATATGGGCAGCCGTCAATAGAAATAAGGCAAATTGACATTTTTTAAAAAAATATCAATACCTTAACTTTCACAGCTCATATCTTGATAAATTTTGAGGCTGTCCTTATGATTTAATATTCAAAAGAAATCTTAGATTGTAAGCTTTCTTTTGACTATTAACTAATTATGATAGCCTCAAAATCCATCGAGATATGAGCTGTGAAAGTTAAGGTATTTGTTTTTTTAAAAAAATGTCAATTTGCCTTATTTCTATTGACGGCTGTCCATGTGACCAAATATCTGGTCTTGGCAAATATAGAAATAAGAATTTCATGAACATTTTCGCTCGCGTAATTATCTTTGTCATTCCCTTTTATTGAATAAAATTAACATATATTCGATACAGAAATACATTATCACTCTTTCAGTGCACGACCAAATCACATGTTATCCTCTTATTTATGACATTTACCAACTATTGTATACCAGTATAGCACCATAATATTATGCATACATGATTCTTTGTATTAGTTGCTGGTCTCTGAGAGATAAAGTGAGGATTATTTAGTAATTTTAATCAACGAAATCGTCTGTCCGAACTTTTTTTGACGGTGATGCTATGGAAGAATTATAGTGGTCATCAGGAATCGAAAATTCATATTCTCTAGAACCTAAAAATTTAAAAGCAGTTAAAACTTATAGATTAATTAAAAATTAGAAATAACAGGTTTAATTATTCACCATAAATTTTTAGCAATTCCGCCGATGAAGAATTAATTGGCTTGCTAAGGTTTTTAAAGTTAAGAAATTTACTTGTAAGTTTATCTTTAGAGCAAGTCGGCAATTCGGTTGATAATGTTGGAATAATTGCATCAGCAAACTGGAATGTCTTTAATATTGCTAATTCATGTTTATTTTCCGCACTGCTACTATCTAATATCTTATACCATGTTAATACTTCTTTATGTATATCAGATGCAGTTGGTCTATCAGAAGGATTAGCATCCATACATTGATTTGCTAATTGGATATAACACTCAGGAGTGTCTTTAGCAATTTCAGGACGTAATCCGAAACAGATTTTCATAGCTAATATTTCATCATACTCAACATCATAATGAGGAGGTTTTCCTGTAGACATCTCAGTCATAATAATACCGAAACTATAAATATCAGCAGCTGTTGTATATGGTTGTTTGCTTAACACTTCTGGCGCAACATAAGGTAATACGCCGTAAATCCCATCTTCCAAATTAGAATCCTCTTTTTTTCTAGATAATCCTAGATCAGCAATATAAGATATCAGATCACCATTAACATATTGATTTTGCAAAATATTCCCGCTATGGAAATCTCCATGAAAATATTCTGCTTTATGTACATTCATTAAATTTTCAGATATATCAACAAGCTGCTTTAATTTACTTTTCCAATTGAGGTCTCTAAAATTTGAAGATAAAAAATCATGGAGACTTCCTCTATTTGCGTATTGAAATACCAGCAAATATTTTTTATTAGTTGTGTTTCGAGTTAGTCCATACACTTCAAGATTATTACCCTTCAATCTACATTCAGTGTAACTTTTAAACTTAAGACAAAATAAAATTTACAATGTTAATAGCTTAATATATATTAGAACATAAATAAAGAATTTTAACATACTTCTCTTAAAAAATTCTTTTGCGAACCAGGTAAAGTTTTAAGAGCAACTACATATGATGGTGTACGTGAGTGCATATTATCTGAAACTGTTCTTTTACCATCTAACCACGTTGCGGAAAATACAGAGCCAAAACCCCCTTTACCAATCATTTGAACATTATCAAATCTATTAAAAGGAATCCATTCGACTACATTTTCGTAAGAAGTAGCTTTAAATTGAAATTCTTTAATGCAATCATCAATATCTTTATTTCCACTTGTCCATCCTTGTGTTGTCTTCTGAGGATCGCATGTTTGGCACCATGCTAAATATGTGTTATATCGCTTGCATTTTGCACATAATCCATTATACCAATCTCTTTTAGAACTAAATTTATCAAATACTAACATATACTCATTGGTTTCATTGTTTTGAGTTAGTCCATATACTTTAAAAGCACTATTATTTAACTGTACGTAATCTGTAAACTTATTAAAATTCAAATAAATATTAAAGCTATATATATAGTGTAACAATGATAAATTATTAATATTTTAGCTTACTTCTTTTAACATATCTGATAAACTTAGTGTTCTATTTAATCTTTTAAACTCCACTTTACATGATGGTATACGTGACTGTATATATTTATCATTATATCTATCTTTTACATACCGTATTCCATCTAACCAGGTTGCTGAAAACCCATCATCATTCTTTTGAATATTCTTTACTCTATTAAAAGGAATCCACTCGATTACATCTTCATAAGATGTAGCATTAAGTTGAAATTCCTTAATGCAATCATCAATATCTTTATTTCCACTTGTCCATCCCTGTGCTGTTTTCTGAGGGTCGCATGTTTGACACCAAGCGTAAGTTGTGTTATATCGGTGGCAATTTGCACATTTTCCATGCACATAAATTCTTTTAGAACTAAATTTATCAAATTCAGTGAATACTAAGATATAATCATTTGTGATATTGTTTTTCGTTAATCCACAAATATTTATACGCTCTGCTTGACACTCAGATTGACACTCAGATAATACAAGATTTTTAAACTGTAAAATATATAAAAGATATAAGAAATAAATAATATGGGTGCTGCGGGCTTTCTAGTTTAATCAGAAACAATAAACTTGAAAGTACAGCAGCACACGTAAATAGTATACGTAAGATAGTCTTGCCTCTTTTAAAAGATTTACTGAATTTCGTGATTGCGTCAATATTTTAAGCTCCACTTTATATGGCCTTATACGTGACTGTGTATATTTTTTACATGCACATTTATTACTATAATCATATTTAACGTTTAGATATCGTATTCCATCTAACCACGTTGCTAAGACTCTATCGCCAATATTTTTAATATCATCTAATCTATTAAAAGGAATCCATTCGATTACACTATGATAAGATGTAGCTTTAAGTTGAAATTCCTTAATACACTCGTCGATATCCTCATTTCCACTTGTCCATCCTTGTGTTGTCTTCTGAGGGTCACATGCTTGACACCAACCACGAGATGTGTTATATCGCTTGCAACTTTCACATTTCCCATTATCTTCATCTCTTTCATTATAAAATCCATCGAAAACTAACATATATTCATCTGTTGCGATGTTTTGAGTTAAACCATAAATACTTCTATCCTCTAATTGATTCATTAATTGCTATATTAAATATATAATAGATTATAGAAGCATATGCACATACAAATTAAACATACAGATTACATGTCTGATTTGATATCTGATATAATGAAATAATATAAACTTACTTTTAAATTATTTTGTGTTCGTGTCAATATTTTAAGCTCAACTTTACATGCTGTTGTACGTGACCGTGTATATCTATATCTATATCCATATACATATCGTAATCCATCTAACCAGGTTGCTAAGAATCTATCGCCAATATTTTTAATATCATCTAATCTATTAAAAGGAATCCACTCAATTACTTCTTCATATTTCGTAGCTTTAAGTTGAAATTCTTTAATGCAATCGTCGATATCCTTATTTCCACTTGTCCATCCTTGTATTGTTTTCTGAGGGTCGCACGTTTGACACCAACCACGGAATGTGTTATATCGCTTACAATTTGAACATGTTCCATATTCATAATCTCTTTTAGAACCAAATTCATCAAATACCATCATATACTCTGTTGTGCTTTTTTGCGTTAGTCCATATACTTTGATATCATTATTCTTTAACTGTACATAATCCATAAACTTATTAAGCATGTAAATATACAGACTATTAAAATAATGTATATATATTGCGTCATATTAATTATATTAATTGATAAGTATTTTAACTTACTTCATTTAACTTATCTAATAAACTTTGTGCTCGTGTCAATATTTTAAGCTCCACTTTACATGATGGTATACGTGACTGTATATATGTATTTCCATCATATACTTCTTTTGCATATCGTATTCCATCTAACCAGGTTGCTGATACTTTATCGCCAACATTTTGAATATCATCTAATCTATTAAAAGGAATCCACTCAATTACTTCTTCATATTTTGTAGCATTAAGTTGAAATTCTTTAATGCAATCATCAATATCTTTATTCCCACTTGTCCATCCTTGTGTTGTCTTCTGAGGGTCGCATGTTTGACACCATCCTATCGATGTGTTATATTGCTTGCAATTTGCACATTTTCCATTAGCTTCATCTCTTTTATTATAAAATTCATCAAATACCAGCATATACTCATTCGTTGCGATATTTTGAGTTAATCCATAGACATGTATACGTGGTTTATGCTCTAACTGACTATCTAATTGCACATGATTTTTAAACTTATAAAATACGTATATAAACAATATAATTAAATATATTAATTAAATAAACTACGCATAACGATAATAAAATGATATGAACTCACTTCTTTTAAAATATTTTGAATATCTCCTGTTCCTGTCAATATTTTAAGTGTAATTATGCTTGCCTGTGTGCGTGACTGTGTATATTTATATTTATTACTATAATCATATTCACGATTTACATAACGTATTCCATCTAACCACGTCGCTAAAAATCCATCTCCATTCTTTTGAATATTAACTAATCTATTAAAAGGGATCCACTCGATCACATCTTCATATTTTGTTGCTTTAATTTGAAATTCCTTAATGCAATCGTCGATATCTTTATTTCCACTTGTCCATCCTTGTACTATCTTCTGAGGATCGCATGCTTGGCACCATGCTAAAGATGTATTATATAGTTTGCATTTCGCACATAATCCGCTATACCAATCTCTTTTAGAACTAAATTCATCAGCCATAATTCTAAGACGTTACTGTACAGAGAAAGTTGCGTTATATAATATATACATATACGTATAATAAGGAATGTAACACAAATATATTACACACTTTCACAGTTTAAATTTGCAATACCATACTTTATCATTTAGAAAAATCTGATCATATTTTATAAAACTATATTATTTTACGAGTATGCATCCAATGATTTCGATTACAAAATTGAAGAGGTATTTATTCATAAATTAATTACTAGTGTATAAGTATTTAGTAAATCAAAATATCTATAATAAAACAGGGAACGTCTATTTCCACCATTTGTCTGTAATTTATCACAACAATATGTTTGTCATGTTTATATTGTTGGAAGTCATGTGGGAATAGGAAATTTTCATGATGGAATTAGGTGCTCCCTAAAACTATGTAGTAAAAATTTTTTATTCATATTATCGTGTCTTTGGTGGTGAATAATTTCACTATTAAATCGATGATTTTTATTACGAAAATGTTAATTATTCCAGTATCACTATGAATAGTTTGATGTCTTTACTTTTGACCATGACTAGGTTATTCAAATTCATAATTGCCTCAAACTGTTTCAATGATTAAACGAAGGTATCTCAAGCAATTTCATAATTTAGGTCATCTCCAGAATATCTTTAATAGAAATATTAGAAATAATCGATTTAATGTTAAGGGAAATATCGAATTTTATAATTGACACACTAGTTTAAGTGGCACGGATTCGATTCACCATACGTATACTACCAGAATGCACTGTGAGCAGAGACCAGATTTATTTAGATCAATATAAATCGACATTTTTGGTCAAATCGTGGGTAAATCGATATTTTTGAATCTTCTGCAGTGTAACATTACACAATGTTGGCGGCCAGAATTATGGATAGCGCTGGTCAAAATTGATTTAGAGACCCACATAAGGCTTTTTCACGATTATCTGATGGAAGCTTTTTTTTCTAATAAAAAAAAGGATCTATATTTTTTGATTCTTCGTTGAAGGCTCTTCATTACGCCCATGACAATAAAATGTCTTCCAAATGAGTTACTGCATATTCTCACATGCAGGAATTTCAAGATGACTTCATTGTTGATGTCAACCTTTTGATATGCCAATTTTGTTGTCACTCTGTAAAATGGAAATGAAGGCAACTATTATGACTTATGGCCTATATCAATACAAATGCGCATCAAAATTTAAAACAAAAAACACTTTCTTCTTCAAGCCAAACCAGGCAATCCACCTTAAATTCTGTGCTTGAAGTGAATCAAAGACCGCTATCAATGATTTAATTTGTGCATTTGTTTAAGCTGACATTCCCTTAGACAAAGTAAACAAGCTTAGACCATGGTTAAGAATGTATTACACGAAGGTGGTAATATTCCTTTGGTCGATGTTTTGTGTCATAATTATCTTCTTGAAGTTTTTGAACATTACTTAATCACAATTAAGCAGATGTTTAGTACAAAAAGGTTTCGTTAATTGATGATGAAACTACTAATAGTAGGGCACGAAGCGTTGTTAATATTTTGTGACTTAATCAAGTTAGTGATTGCAGATTACTTAGATATAGTTAACAATTCAACGATTAGGCAGTTAATTGTTCGTACTTTGGTTAATTGGAATATCTCCAGGGCTTCAGACACTATAGCAATGTGCCAGCTATTTACTGCGCCGATGCCAATTGTTTGAAGTTTCGTTTTTGATCCATCAAATTAGAATCTACCATATTGTATAAATAATCTATAAATTAATCTATTAATCGAATATATTACTTTGTATATTAGTCCTCTAATTGAATACCTTATATGCATAATTATGCAATAATATGATATGTATTATTCTGGCAATTAAATCCTAATATAAAATAGATCATGAATGACAATTTTTTAATGGCCGGCATCTCATTTCATGATACACGGTTAATTGTATCACCATCAAATATTCTTTATTAGTTGTGTCTTGAGTTAGTCCATATGCTTCAAGATTATTACGTACCCATTAATCTGAATTTTGTGTAACTTTTAAACTTGCATATAATTTAAGAACTCTATTTTCTAATTGTACATGACCTACAAAAAATAAAGTTATATATTGTGTAACATTGATAAATTATTAATATTTTAGCTTACTTCTTTTAATATATTTGCTTTCTATTTAATAGTTTAAGCTCCACTACATATGTTGGTATTCGTGATTGTGTATATTCATATTCGTCATTTTCATTTTTAGATTCATAACTTGCATATCGTATTCCATCTAACCAGATTGCTAAACTTTATCGCCAATATTTTAAACAATAACATTTATTAAAAAGAATCCATTCGATTACATCTTCATATTTTGTGGCTTTAAGTTGAATTTCTTTAATACAATCGTCAACATCTTTATTTCCACTTGTCCATACTTGTATTGTCTTTTGAGGGTCACATGTTTGGCACCAAGCTTCAGCTGTGTTAAATCGTTTGCAATTTGCACATTTCCATTCCGTTCATTTCTTTTAGAACCAAATTCATCAAATACTAACATATACTCATTTGTTGTGTTGTTTTGATATAGAAAATAACTAAATGTACACGGGGTGTCTGTACAAGCAAATCCGTGTAACATGTAAATTAAAGTTAAACACTGCCTAACAGTCACAGGACATGTCCTTTTACAGGGGTTCATAATGTTGTTCATATGTAATTTTATGTCGATTATTTTCACTTTTATATAGAAATTTTACCCCTTCAAAAAGTTTTTCCTATGACAGCACCAAATTCGTGAAACCTTTCAAACATCGCTTTCTAAACCAAAAATATTAGATTCCGAAATTTCAGTTCTTAACTCTTTTTAGTTTGAAGAAAATCTTCGGTTAAACCTGAAGTACATTAACCACTGTAATGTATACGGATCTATATATACAGGTACGATTACTTTTACAACTATCCTTTTGAAAGCTTAATTTACTTCTATTTTCCTAACAATACAATTTAACAATCCATTTCATGCTGACATCTCATTTATTAACACTAAGGAATATTTGGTTAGTTAGCGCACATTTTATAATTTTACTAATTTAGCCTTTTTTTTTTGCTTGCTACATAAAACAGGTTACAATTTCTGTTAAACAAAGATGAACAAAAGGAATTTAAGTGTTATTTAAACTCTGCTGAAGGTGGTGACTTGAGTGCGCAAAACAACAGTCTTGGAATATGTTATGAAACTAATACAAGCACAACCAAGAATAAAAAAAAGCATTTGAATAGTAATTAAAATTTGCTAAGGATGGTAAGTTAAATGAACAATACTTATGAACAATGCTTGTAGCATGTTTTTTTTTGTTCTTTTAATAAAGATCAGTACTGAAAAATATTTGGTTGGTTAGTTAGTTCTTATTTTATGAATTACTAATTTAGTGTTTTTTGCTTGCTATATTAAACATACAGATTACACTTCTTTTTCAAACAAGGATGAACAAAGGCATTTGAATGTTATTTAAAATTTACTAAAGGCAGTAATTTGAGTGCACAAAACAGTCTTGAAATATGTTATGAAACTGGTATAAGCAATAACCAAGAATGAAAAAAAGGCATTTAAATAGTAATTGAAATTTGCTGAAGGTGGTAAGTTAAATAAACAGTTTTTGTAATAGTATGTTTTTTTTTGTCATTTAATAGAGATTAACACTAAAGAATATTTGGTTGGCTAGCACTTATTTTATAAATTTACTAATTTAGTGTTTGTTGCTTGATACATAAAACATACAGATTACAATTCTTGTTCAGACAAGAATAAATAAAAGGCATTTGAATATTAACTAAAATTTATTAAAGGTAGTGATTTGAGTACACAAAACAGTCTTGAAATATGTTATTAAAATAGTATAGATATAGCCAAAAATGATAAAAGACATTTGAGCAGTAATTAAAATTTGCTAAAAGTAGAAATTTAAATAGACAATACTTATAATAGCATGCTTTTTCTTTGTCTTTTTAATAGAGAAATAGTTTTATTTAATTATGTGTAGTTTATAATTTTTTATACTCATTTTACTGTATAGTTTATATTTTATTATAACATTTATATTTATTATAAAACTTATATTTTTTACTTATTTGCTTTTTTTAAGTGTTTAATTTTATTTTCTATTCACTAACAAAATTGAAAATTTTAAATTTCATGTCTATAAAATCATATAATAGGATTGGGTGGTATGTTAAATGCAAGTTGAGTGGTATCCAAATTGTATTTTAATTCTTCTAATAATTATATCTAATATTGAGAAGATATAATATTAAATATAATTATAAAATAAAAAAATACATCTTAATAAAAGTATTAAACTTAAATATACTAAATAATTTATTTTATTTCTTTATTTAACAAAATAATAAGTATTGACACTATTAACAAAGTTGTATACTTTAAAATAGTATAGATAGTTTCTAATACCATGAATCTTAAAATAATATGCATTCTTATAAGATCATACAAGGTTATACACATATTAAATTTTTTGAATTATTAAACTCTTTAATGTAGTAAATTCTTTAATAAGTTAGTCAATTACATAAATATTACATTATATTAGAAAATTGGTCTTTGTTCTATATATATTCAAAATAACATACATATATCTGACATACTCAAAATAATGTACATATAAGTATTATATAAAAATGTATTGTATTTGATAAAACAAATAATTGCACAATTATTATGATGTTTAAAAAAAGTTTATCTAAATAAACATCTTTTGTTCTGTTAACATTTTATAACTGTTTTATCTTAGCATGATTTTTGTTTTAACAAAATGATTTAAAATTAAAAAGATAACTTAATGACCAATTAGATTGCTATCATGTTACATTTTTGTCTATTATATAAATTAAAAATACAATTAGTAAATAAATATATAAAAATAAAATAATATTAAATTTTGTAAGAAAAAAAAAGATATAAATAAACTTGCCATTCTAGATATCAGTTCTTGTCAACTTACAAATCTTGAATAATTTTTACTAAATAAATTATATTTAGTAATTTCTAAATTTTTATAAAATAACATATTTATCAAACCAAATAATAATTTTAAATCTATTTATTTAGAGAAATATAATGCTTTAGAAGAAAATTATAATAAAACTTTTATTATTCATCTATTGATTTTAAAAAATGCACAAGCCTTACTACATAATGAAAGTAAATATATTGATTTAAACAAAATTAAATCTGTAAATTTTGATCTCTTTAAAAAATTCTCTTCAATAATAGGTAATAAAATAGATATAGAAATTGAAAAAACTTTTGTATAAATTTAGAATTTAATATTATATATAATTACAAATTATATTAAAGGCTAAATAAAGTGTTGTAATAGTATTACAAATCTAAGAAGATTGTAACAAATGACAGAAATATAGAAAATAGATGCATGTGCAATTAAAAATATTTAAAGTAATAATATAACAAACCTATAATAATTGCAACAAGCAATAAAAATATAGAAAAAAGAAGCAAATGCACTTAATTAACTTGGTGTATGTTATATTTATTTTATATTTGATCAGAATTAACTTTATAAATCAGGCATGAAACAGTCATATTTGATTAATAAAAGCATTGTTTATTTTTATATTTGTCTTTTCTGTAATAAAAATAAATATTTTTTTAGTTGTGGCAATTGTTGTATACAATATTTATAGAAAGTCAATAAACATAATATTCAGATATTTTGTATTAGCATTTATAACTGTCCTATATTTTCTGAAGGATATATTATCAAAAAATTATCTTTCAATTATTATACATATTATGTTTACTTAGAGTGCTTTTAACAAAATAGTGAACATCTTTATAAAAAACTCTATAGTAAAAAATTTTAATTATATAAACTTGGAAAACACCAAAATAATATTAGTAATATTCTAAAGCTTATTAAAAAATAGGTATTATCAGTAGCAGATTTAAATAATCAAAAGCTGCAAAAAAGACTCCTATGTTTGATATTTTTAATGTTATTAACTTTGATAATAAAATAATAAACAAAAATTTATTTGAAATAAAAATAATAAAATCTCTAAGTAAGCTAATTGTTAGAATAGTAATAATAATAAAAAAAATTAAAATAAATATGTTAATTTAAGAAAAACTTTATATAACTTTGAAAAAAGCTTTGACATTAAGTAAAAAATTAAGAAAAACAATTTAAATTCACATTCTAAGTTAAAGAAAATATAAGCTAATTAGAAAACCTAAGCTTATATAAAGACTACTTTAATGTACTATCTAATATTATTTATACTTTTTTTCAAACTCTTCTCACAATATTACAAGAATATAAACTAAAAATTATTAATAGTAAGAGACTTCAATATGAACTTTCTCTAAAATTATATAATCCTTAATCTATAAGCTTTTTCAGACAAATTTACCTAAAAATTGTTAAAAATATGCTTATGATTTATATTTTTTAAATTTTAAAATATTTAAATAAA